AAACACTTTTCCCACGAGTATCGAACAATATTTTTCATCACAATGTGTGGAAAAGGGACGTTTTAGCCACGCGAAGCGTGCCTAAAAAGTTACTTTATCGCACAGCGTGATGAAAAAAATTTTTCCTATTCGGATTCAAAATTCAGAGCTGTGTGAACTTGGGGTCGAAGTTTGATAAATCGATTGTTTTTCTTATAGTATCGATTGTACTCAGTGAGTACCTGAATGTACTACATTCATTTTCATTTTTACCCCGCACCCCTAGACGTAAGGGGTGCGGGAAAAATCGTGCAGCGTCGGAAATGAAGGAACGGAAAAAATTTTCATGAGCAAGGATTCAGCATGGATAGTACTTGTATGTACTATATTTTTACATTTCATTTATCAACCCCTTCAATACTTTACCCGCTTCTAAAATCTTAAATATATGAAGGACGTCAGGAAAACACAGATAGCTTCTAAATCGGTAGTACTCGTTGGTAGCAACGAAAATGATTCATTATTATTATTATTATTATTATTATTATTATTATTATTATTATTATTATTATTATTATTATTGTTGTTATTATTCTCATCAAATCACGTGATTCCATTTTTATCAACCGTAAAATCATCGTAATGGATTCCATATGTAGTTCGTGAAGTTTTGATGTGGGTACAAACGTCTCATCTTCCATACTTCCACTCCCATCGCAGTACAAACGGAACAATTTACTGTACATGATAATGAGACCAAGTACAAACCATTCAGAGCTTCAAAAACAGTCGTAGATTATTCAGAAAAATGGTACAAACGTTTTTCTGAATTTTATTGGTGTTTAGTGACGTGTAGGTGTTGGTACAAATGTCCTAAAGTACGGCAAGATTTTTTGGCGATTTTGTTATCGCGATTATCTCGGAAACTATGAGAGATAGAGCCTTAAAACCTATTCCATTCGATTCCTGAGGAAATTTGGGTTCCGTATAGGCAGATGGACGGCTCAGAATTGCGTTTTTCCACTTCCTACACCCTATACAAGATGAATTAAATTAATTTTTTTTGGCACTTTCGTTTTTCGCGATTATCTCGGAAACTATGAGAGATAGAGCCTTAAAACCTATTCCATTCGATTCCTGAGGAAATTTGGGTTCCGTATAGGCAGATGGACGGCTCAGAATTGCGTTTTTCCACTTCCTACACCCTATACAAGATGAATTAAATTAATTTTTTTTGGCACTTTCGTTTTTCGCGATTATCTCGGAAACTATGAGAGATAGAGCCTTAAAACCTATTCCATTCGATTCCTGAGGAAATTTGGGTTCCGTATAGGCAGATGGACGGCTCAGAATTGCGTTTTTCCACTTCCTACACCCTATACAAGATGAATTAAATTAATTTTTTTTGGCACTTTCGTTTTTCGCGATTATCTCGGAAACTATGAGAGATAGAGCCTTAAAACCTATTCCATTCGATTCCTGAGGAAATTTGGGTTCCGTATAGGCAGATGGACGGCTCAGAATTGCGTTTTTCCACTTCCTACACCCTATACAAGATGAATTAAATTAATTTTTTTTGGCACTTTCGTTTTTCGCGATTATCTCGGAAACTATGAGAGATAGAGCCTTAAAACCTATTCCATTCGATTCCTGAGGAAATTTGGGTTCCGTATAGGCAGATGGACGGCTCAGAATTGCGTTTTTCCACTTCCTACACCCTATACAAGATGAATTAAATTAATTTTTTTTGGCACTTTCGTTTTTCGCGATTATCTCGGAAACTATGAGAGATAGAGCCTTAAAACCTATTCCATTCGATTCCTGAGGAAATTTGGGTTCCGTATAGGCAGATGGACGGCTCAGAATTGCGTTTTTCCACTTCCTACACCCTATACAAGATGAATTAAATTAATTTTTTTTGGCACTTTCGTTTTTCGCGATTATCTCGGAAACTATGAGAGATAGAGCCTTAAAACCTATTCCATTCGATTCCTGAGGAAATTTGGGTTCCGTATAGGCAGATGGACGGCTCAGAATTGCGTTTTTCCACTTCCTACACCCTATACAAGATGAATTAAATTAATTTTTTTTGGCACTTTCGTTTTTCGCGATTATCTCGGAAACTATGAGAGATAGAGCCTTAAAACCTATTCCATTCGATTCCTGAGGAAATTTGGGTTCCGTATAGGCAGATGGACGGCTCAGAATTGCGTTTTTCCACTTCCTACACCCTATACAAGATGAATTAAATTAATTTTTTTTGGCACTTTCGTTTTTCGCGATTATCTCGGAAACTATGAGAGATAGAGCCTTAAAACCTATTCCATTCGATTCCTGAGGAAATTTGGGTTCCGTATAGGCAGATGGACGGCTCAGAATTGCGTTTTTCCACTTCCTACACCCTATACAAGATAAATTAAATTAATTTTTTTTGGCGATTTCGTTTTTCGCGATTATCTCGGAAACTATGAGAGATAGAGCCTTAAAACCTATTCCATTCGATTCCTGAGGAAATTTGGGTTCCCCATAGGCAGATGGACGGTTCAGAATCTCCGTTTTTCCACGTCCGTCACCCCATACAAGATAAATTAAATTAATTTTTTTTGCGATTTCGTTTTTCGCGATTATCTCGGAAACTATGAGAGATAGAGCCTTAAAACCAATTTTGGGTTCCCTATAGGAAAATGGACGGCTCAGAAGTATGTTTTTCCACGTCCTACACCCTATACAAGATAAATTAAATTA